GTTCAGGGGATCTTGTAGTCGAGCAGTCTCGACTAGAGCTTTCTTACTTGTTTTTCATTAATCTCTTTAAAATCATAACATTAGCTCACGTGAGAAATTTTAACATTCTAGCTTTTAAGCTCTAGGAGATACAGTTTTATCTAATTCACCACGCCCTCAATGGGCGTAGATATATCCGTCATAGCACGTGATCTTGGGTGGTCGACACAGATCTACATTAAGAATTTCGGCTTTCTAGCTCTTCAACTTATATGATTTCTAGCAAATCGGAAAATGCACGCCCCTAGTGAGCGGATCGGGAAAATTTTATCACTTTATAAATCGGATATAAGAGTATGTGTTCCAAATTGCTAGTCTCTAGCTTCAATAGAGCCGAAAAAGATTGCCTTCATTCGGGCAAACGGACGGACAAGACGGACATTACACAAAACCAATACACTATAAATATAAAACTAAATAAGTTAAAAAACTTTAGTAGAGAAGGCTCGAGTTCGAGATCCCCGGAATCCTTCGACCAACTGATATTTCAAAACTCTTCTCTTATTTTCGCTGTCTGTTAATACTTTTTATCAGAGTATAAACGCACAACCATAAATATAGATCCTTATTGAATCCATTTTTTTAGGGCTAGTGAGGGACCAATTCTCCGGAAGTAGAGCAGTCCACCAGTGAGTATCAGCACTAACCAGAGAGCACATAGACTAGAAAAATTTTGCACGCTTTTTCTGGAGCTTTAGCACCCAAGACAGCTTCGGATTCGCTCGGCTCCTTACTTTTAGGTTTTCTGTGCTCTCTGGTTAGTGGTATCAGTTAGAGTACATCGCATCGGAGAACTCATAATACATATGTATATATGTTTAAAAAACTTTTTCAAGTGACAGAAATTTATTTAATTTAATGCAAATGGCCTAACGAATGGATTTTTCACTTTGATTTGCAGGTATTGGCCATGGGTTATATAATAAATTTCCTCTTTTGGTCAAAGTTTTATTTTGGCCCAATCATTTCAAATAGCAGTCATCATGAAGCTACAACTATTGGCACTGTTATATTGTTTGGAGCATTTTCAGGGGACGGCAAACGCTAATCGGTGTTTCTATTTTAGCAGTACTGAGGTAATGTAATTTGAATGCTGTATTTAAATAATGATAACTATTACAACATTGTATTATTTTTTAAATTATACTATGCAGGCTACCTGGCATGAAGCTTGGCAGATATGTAAGAAACATAATCTCTGTTTTGCCAGTTTCGGCTCCACCGCCGAATTCAATGCAGTGGCGAAGAAAATAATGTCCATAGACCGAGTTGATTATTGGTTTGGTTTCAAGGATGAATATGGAATCACCAGAGCAAAATCCACATCAATAGAGAGCTTCTTGAAATACTCTCCAAGAAACAAAAGTGGGACTGATATTAACGATAAATGTGGTTACATAAATGCACAACTCGAAATTTCAACCACTTATTGTAATACAAAAAAAAGATTTGCATGCCTTAAAGCCGCCAAATGCTATAACCTCGGTATGCCACTTACGACGGTGAATCAGACAGAGGTGTTGCCTGGAATTGTCCCGTGCAAAATAAAACCCCAGATCCGGGAAAAGCTGGAGTTAAATAGTAAATATTTTGATGAACTATAACGAATAAATATCGGTTTATGTATTTGATATTAATTTGAGCATCAACTCAAAATGAATAAAAGTTGTTATCAACATTTGATCAACAATAGAGAATTTACAGCATTCTAAACGTTTTTGGTGGACAACTTCAAACTTCTACTCGACTTCAACCGAAGTATGGACACTGTTTTATCATATATCTTAACTCAATTAACTCATGAATTATCTCATCAAATCACTTATTCTCTAGCTTATAATAACACCCATTAGTATTAGCTAAAATAGAAATGTGCTCAATGACTGAACACTAATATAGTTCTTTAAAAAAGTTAACTCAGAAAATAAACAAAATATACTTGAATACATTTTTATACATACTAATAAAACGCACCATAGTCTCAGAATAAGGTTTAGAGGTGAACTATAGTCAAATTCGATAAACAAGAACAAACCCTCATGCTGAATCTGTGAACAATGGGGGTCAATTTATTTATATTTATTGAATTCCAGCAGCTTACGAACGATTCAAAAAACATCACGATTCGTCTTGGTTAGCCATTTCGTTTTGATTAGCTCTGAAATTTGTTACTTAAAATAAAAAAAAACTTACGTCCAACAAATTATATTGAACAACAAGTATGCTGCTTTTCTCAACAAAATTCTTCTTGATATGACGATTTTTTTTATCGAAACACCGGGAAATTACCTACGAAATCGCGAAATGTCCATTACAGTCCATTCCATTCAGTACTACGTCACTCGATCCGCTATACTCACAGCCTTACTCTATAAACTCATTGAAAACAAGTAAGAAGGCTCTAGCCGAAACTCCTCGACTAGGAAATATTCTGAACCCTCCAATCTGATATTCTAATCATTCTGTAGCTCTTTTATGCACTTTTACATACATAAACATGCACGAATAAAAACGAGCTCTGCTAACTACGCAGTAAGCAGCGACTGCGCTTAAGCTGCGCTGCAGTGAGGGCAATATAATACGAATTTATTTGAATAACTTCTTTTGTAGACATACAATCTTAATGAAACTTTCAGAAAGTAATCATAATGTTCTAATGTATGTACATTTCAAAGCAGTAGTATTACAAAATGTTTGTATTCATCATTTGTATATACACAGTAAGTCTGAAGCTTCCAGATCTAATAATGTTCAAAAGAGGCTGAAAAAACTCTATCAATTTTTCGATTATTCTCGATAAAAAGGTTATCGGATGATTGATCGAAAAAATTAGATAAACTCGTACCACTGACCAAACAACACATAGACTAGACATGTAGTACAAATTTTTCTACAACTCGAAACTGTTAAGTTGACATACCACTATACTTCGTATTTGCTCGGCTCGGTCGCTGGAGGTTCAAGCAGTGAAA